TGGGATGGGTTTTGCATTTTCTCCGGGCAGCCATGGTGGCCGACTCGTCACTACGTGTGGGTACTGGAGCTAGAGTGGTCTTTGTTGGTTTGTAGATTCCCGATCACATGTACCTATACGTGCGGTGTGTTGGATACTATTCTGTCAGGAGCTAGAGTACGCGGCCTAAAGTTGAATCAGCACCCCACTGATCGGCTTTTGCAGTTTCGGCGTCGGCGAATAGACCCAACTTTCGTCGCTGTATCAACTGTATATACATTTTCCGCAGGGCAATCCGACAAGGTATGCGCCGCGATAGGATGCGACCTCGTGGTCCTAGGTTTACCAAGTGCCAAGTGCTGAGTGCTAAGCATGCTGTGCGTAATAGCGTTACACCAACCAAGCCCCTCCCGCATTTCCCGAATATGGGGGGGCCTTTGACAGGTGACGCCAGGGTGAAGAAGGACCAAAAAGAAAATTGACCAACTAAACAAACAAAAAAAAACCGACTCAGATTTAAACTGGGACCTCCTCAGCAGGAACAAGACCCAGCCGCTGTGACCATTGGTTTCCAGGTGGCAGAGGCTCCGAAGAAACAGCAGGATCCTACCAGCTGTTATCGCGGAACATGCTACCATTACACCCACCGGGTTGAATTTGCAGGTTGGAAAATGCATTCATATAGTCTGAGTATGGGTATCTCAGTCCCAATAGCCGTTTCCCCCGTCCCCATCCTTTTGTTACCGATTAGTTGCCACTCGTGACGGCGGCAGGCTTGCGTGGAGGTTCTGAGGCTGTGCAGGCGTAGAGAGGTCTTGGCGATCTTTTGAGCACTGCTGAGCACATCTTCCACATATCTTTACGGGCGGCATCTTGGAGGGGGGTACGCAATCGCTTTTGTTAGTCTATCTTGCATATCCCTTTGCGATTCACTATTGGATGTTGGTGGGGTACCAATGGGGGCTGTCCATATAAGGGGTGGTATTTTCTTGAGATTTTCTGGCGGTGACACCTGTGGTCCAGTGGTTTCTGCACACTGGCGCTGGCGATGACACAAGTGACAAAGTGCCAGTGACACACACATCACCTCGCCTTACGGATACCCTCGTATATCAACCTGATGCAGATTAATCTTGGCTCTGGTGTTTTTGTCCTCAAGAAACACGTCCCCCCCGGCGGGTTCTCAACAGGCACGAAAACAAAAGACCGACGCAACCACCTCCGTATCTCGACTTCCTTCCATTTCTTGTTCTTCTGCACCAAGCGTGTTTCGCCAGGTCGTCGCTAAAGACACATGTTGTTTTCGCCAAGACGCAAAGCGCCGAAACAAAAACCCTGCCGCCGCACCCCATTCGTCCGCGGGGGGCCACCTGCCTCGACGCCTGGAGCCAGCCGTCGAGCCTCTACCCCGGATCGTCAAACGGCCTCGTTACGCGAGACAGCTGAGGAAGTGCCGCTGGATTGTTGGAGAAGGCGCCTTTGCGACTGGCAGCTGCCTGCGCTTGGACATTGATCTTTTTCAGGTTGCAATATCCGTAAATCGCAGTCAACAAAAAGCCCGGCCTGGCTTGAGCTTCTAATCGAGCTGAACGGACCCTATAGCCCCCCATTTTATTCTTCGGCTTCTCTTTTAAAATTGTGCGACAAGCCGCAGCCGCCGCGTCTTTCGCCCTTCCCCTCCGCGTAACAGCGACTGGAGAACACTGAAACACAGACCAGAACACACCCTCCCATCCTGCCATTTCCTGCCCGGTTCCCGGCAGTGGTAACCCACCATGAAGAAGGGCTTCAGCATAAACAGGGTGCTGAGCACCATGAAGAAGCGGCCTGCATTCGGTGAGCTCCTCCTCCCTCCGGCCCCCTGACCTGCTCGGCGCGGCGATCTTGCCGAATCAAGTGGCGGCGCGTATCTGCTTACTGACAGACCTCCCTTCGCGGCAGGCAACAGCAACGACGAGCCGACGCCGACGCCAGATCCGAATGGCGATTCTCCCGAGGCGGTCGCGGGGCGCGCAGTGGTATGGACATGCAGCAATTGATGGATGAACGAAACGGCAGATTTACTAACTCGGCGTGGTGCTTCAGAGGCAATTCTGCGAATCAGGGGGCAGTTCCTCGGTATGTTCAAGATCGCGGCCCAGAAGTTCCTCTGCCGCTCGTCTCGTGTGTGTATGTGTGTGTGTGGGAATGGTCAACTGAGGCTATAAGGATCCATCACAGGGCGACGACATAACCTTCCTCCCCGCTATCGTCGATGCCGCCGAATCATCCCCGGCCGCCGCCGCCGAATGCGCCCGTGTCATTCGCAAGTTCCTAAACCGCGACTACTGGAGCAAACCGTCGTTCCAGTACAATGCCATCATGCTGATCCGCATCCTGTCCGATAACCCAGGCCAAACCTTTACACGCAACCTAGACAAGAAGTTTGTTGACGCGAGCAAGGAGCTTCTGCGGTCTGGGCGAGATCCCCATGTGCGCCAAATGTTGATGGAGACGCTCGACTCGTTTGAGAATACAAAGGGGTACGACGAAGGTTTGGGCTTGATCATTGAAATGTGGAAAAAGGAAAAGGAAAAGGCATACAAGGCCTATGGGGTAAGTAATGCCTGGGGAGGGTTTCGCCGCTATGACAGAGGCAAAATAGGGGCAAGATGCTAACACGTCAAACCAGGGCCGTCCCACCGAGCCAAACCCCCGAGTCCTTAATGCTCCGCCCTTCAACCCGCAGCCCGACCCGCACTCGCAGGAGTACTTCTCGCGCACTCACCGCAGCCGACGGCTGCCCAGCGCCATCGAGCTTGCCAACCGACTCGAAGAAGCGCGAACCTCGGCCAAGCTGCTCGAGCAGGTCGTTGGTTGCACGCCGCCCGCCGAGGTGCTGCACAACGATCTCATCAAGGAGTTTGCGGACCGGTGTCTGAGCGCGTCGCGCAGCATCCAAGGCTACATGACGGCGGACGACCCATCACCCGACAACGACACTATGGAAAGCCTGATCGACACCAACGAGCAGCTACAACACGCTCTCAACCAGCACCAGCGCGCCGTCCTGCACGCCAAGAAGCAGCTTCCCACGAGCACCGAGCGCTCCAGCACCTCGAGCCCGGCGACACAGCACGCCGGTGGCGACCAAAGTAGGGGCGGGTGGGGCATCCCCCCACCCTCCGGCTCGCCCCCGTCCCAACAAGGCAGCGTCCCGGGCCCGCCCGTGCCAAGCCGGAAACCCGTCGGTGCCTCGGGAGGGTCCGGCTCCGGCTCCGGCGCCCCCGTCTACAAAGGCAAGGGTACCGACCCGTGGGACACCGTCGGACCCACACGCTCAGGCGCCGGCACCCCCGCCGTGGACGACCCGTTCCGGGACCCCGTGCCGCGCACCGAATCGGCGGCGTCGTCGTCACGGCGGCCCGGGAGGACCTCGAACGACGGCGGTGACCTACCGAGGCTGCCGTACGAGCCTTTCCACCCGGGCTTCAACCCCTCGACGCACGGCAAGGACCGCGCGGCGGCGGAGCCGGTCACGCCCGTGAGTGATGATGGGTTATATGATAATGAAAATGACGCGTATCGAGCAACGCCGCCGAAGCCGCCGGGGAATGTTTATCGGTATTAGGGGGGGTGAGGGGATATGAGGAGAAGGGCAGGGAAATATGGCGTGCCATTTGCAACCTACAAGTACGTAATTCAGGGGCTGGCCAAGACATATGAGGCATGGGTTTTTTTTTTGAGATTTAAGTTCTTGGCGGTAGCTGCGCCCCCTGGCCGAACCGGAATGATTATGACAGCGTGAGCGGTGTTCTATCTACTTTTTTTATATCGCAGGAACGGCTAGATATGACTGTGATTGGTATGTGGTTGTGATCTCCATGTACGAGTTTGCCGGTATTTGTTGACTGACGTTGATGTGCTGGACGTATGCTCGATGTGTTGAGATGGGGTTTAAGTAAGCGTGTAACCGTATTGGTGTTGGTGGTTACGCATTGTCTTGTATCTCGAAGAGGGTAGTCTTGCGATGGGTATACTCTTGCTCTGCCGCGAGTGTGAGCTGGGTATTCAATATTGAAACTAGACTTCAGTTGATATGGGTGAATTCTTGCAACCTAAATGTACTTGCAAATGTGAGGTAATATAGCTTCTGCGTTAAATCCACGTACCCTACAACGCCATTGCCAACCATTCAAGACCTAGGCAAACTCACAAAACTTCAGATCCGATCCAACGAAATGCTACCATCATTATAAACCTCCTAGACAATGGAAATAAGCTCGATCACACCAAACGGCGCCCTCAAGTCTTCCAACATCCCAAGCTGCAACACCTCGACAAACCCAGTCTACATCCTTCGGGTCCAGTCCCCAACACACTTCACCCCTCGTGACCACGCAATCGCTCAACCAACACCCAGCTAAAACTCTCCAAGAGTAACTAACACTAGGATTCACACTTGAGGCGCGGATTATACTTACGGCAGAGGCTGCTGCCACAACACCCTGCACCCTAACACTTCTCCCGGATCACCATCCCAAGGTCAGGGGTCAAAACGAACCTCCATCACGACCTCGGCTCCATGGTCAAACTCCACCAGTGCGGCATCCATCCACATGTAGGGATCTAGCCCTCACCAAAACGCCTCATCATGACAACAGCGCCAGTGGTTTAAGTGGTAAAATCCATCGTTGCCATCGATGGGCCCCGCGTTCGATTCGCGGCTAGCGCATCATATTTTCTCTTCAGATCATATTTGTTTTCTTTTTGTTTTCCAAGTCTATACACAGCTATGGTACAGAGCAGGGTTCGATCTATGGCTTCCTTTGATCGTGTTGCCATTGAATTCAGATTGCGAATTGAAGTCTTTCAAATCGCAGTGTTCCAGCCCTTCGGCAGTGTCGGAGCAGGTTCTTTGAGGCAGTGGGTTCCCAGTCGAAGGTGTTCTTGCTGGAGCATCACTAAACTCCACACAAATCCACCTCGGCTCTCAGATTCATGTGTATAATTCCGAGCCCCATACTGCATCGATAAGCACGGGGAATGTGGCTCAGTTGGTAGAGCGCTCGCTTAGCAGCCTCTGACTGCGAAAGGTCCTGAGCTCGGTTCTTAGCATCTCTATGATTGCGAGTCGGCAGCTGTAGGTTCAGCTGTTGACTTCCCTTTCTGCGTGTTGTGTATATTTCTTGTTTTTTGAGCCTATCGGGCTTCCCACTCAGTCTCTCAGTCTCTCTTCCAATCAACCAACCGATATCTGCTGAGTCCCGGTTTAACATGCACGCTTGTGCAATTGGGGTTGGGCCGTATCATCAAGTTATGGCGGCCATAGGTACATGCTGATCTGCCGGCACACTGTGCACTTCTGGGCGTCGATGCCGGGCAGGCCGCATCGACACGACCGACGTCAACATTAGCGCCGCAGGACATCACGAGGCATATGCCCAATGACAAGGAGAGAGGGACGCACCAAAATGGATATGGGTGAAACCAACAAAGCTGCTTGATTTGCTTGTGGAAGCCGGGGTATCCCAGCCAAGCAGGTATCACCGCCTCCAGGTCCGGAGTATCGACGGGGAGCTGCATGCTGCTGCCAAAAGGGGATACGCCGTGCCACGAACCTCACAATCCGATGATATCCGCGAGCCACGAACGAGGGAAATGGCGGCCCCTTGAGAAGGATCGTATTCAAAAGAGAACCCATCGAAATACTCTCTCTCAAGCATCTACTTCCAAACAGAAGAAGGTCGTATGTAGCTCTCCAACACAATCATCGGGCCTTGGAGGGGTTGACATGGCCGTCAATGGAAATCAAAGAAACGGCACTGAGATTCGACCCCGTAGGGCCGAGTAAGACAACGGACAACAGCCAAGAAAATGACAGCTCATTCACCAGGCAACTTCTGACTGGTCGCTTGACCTTGGGCTGCGAACTTCTGAGGCCGTACTCGGACCATTTGCAAATATAAGAGGGGAAATGTCGACGCACCTGTGTGTCGAGAACTACCTAGAGGTGTCTCTACCAATCTTGATAGTCTAGCTTGCATGGGGCATACTTAAGCGTGGACGCTTAGGACCCATGTACTGTCCCCACAAGAACTTTTATTTGAACGACTTTAGCTAGGGTCTGTCCTGTCTGTTTTGACATCGAGGAAGTGAGGACTCGCCTCCGTTTGGAGGATGTGATCTATCGTCGGGCTCTCCGACGATTGACTGCAACGCTGGAAAAAGGGGCGATGTTTGGCTTGGCATCGCCCCTCGTGCCGCTGCGAGACGAAACCCGGAACTACCGAATTATGACGGAAACTGCGTACGGCGCTGTCGGATATGTTTTTGCGGAAGCGTTCCAGTGCTTGGTTTCGGAAGGCGACCCTATGATCTGAGGGGCGGTGTGGTCCTCGACAATCCTGGCGTTTCCCTTGGATTACTGGCCCGGCAATGCGAAATCACCCTGGGGCCCCTCGGGTTTGAGACGAAGCGACCGCTCACTGTCGAGAAAGGGCACTGCTCGACCTCGAAGTCAGTACAAGCGCTTGGACAAAGCACATATTCCACTTTCTGCCGGCAAATGAGACGATGTCCCGCATACCTCCCTAGTGCTCCTATGCACAGTTTGGAGACACTGCCGATGCTCGTCGACTCGGCCGCATACCAGTTGGAGGTACCGCTACATGTTCAATGTTTGGAACAGATGGGCCGGGACCGTCTGAAAGCCTCGACAAAATGGCCAGAGCGGTTGGCAAAACCGATGGGCGTCGCCAGGCTAAGTCGATATACCACCGCCGTGTTGGGTATGTTGTGGGGTTCCTGGCCCGTCTCCCTTGGAAAGAAGCTTGCATGTTGGGCGCAACTTGGGCGACGGGAAGCTCTGAGCAAGAACATAGTCCAATCCGCGTCGCCTGGGAATTTCCCACCCGCGAAGCTATCGGCACTAAGGCGAGAACAGGTCAGCCGACGAATTCCACTGGAGGTTGATCGCTTGCAACGGCTTGCTGGGGAAAGGTGGAGAACCTGTGGTACTCCCCGGCGAGAGTCGAGTGCATAAGGTTCGAAACAAGGGTTGCCCAACTGCTATTGGTAAATCTTGGTGGTTTGGCGATTTGGATGGCGTTTTGCTTCAAGACAGTCGCAATATGATGTGTGACGTGGCTAGAATAGCTGCCCAACCGAGCTAGAAAAAGAGCATGTTTGTCAAGAGGCTCTTGGAACATGAAGGCTGGAAGGTTTGGAGCAGGATGACGCTTAGTTTCGTTGGAGTATTGGCTGTTGGAGCTTTAGTTTACGGTCGCAGACTCGGCGTTGCAAAGTTGAAAAGCTGAAATGGTACCTGGGACCTGGGGTACCTTCTATCGTGGCTCGAAGGGTGTGTCTCGAGCGCCGGTGGATCTTTCTATTTCACACCACTTCAGACGATCCTTCCTGCTGTTGGAGACTCTCGGTCTGGCTCACAAATGCTTCTTCAACAGTCAATTCTTTTGCTTCTTTCCTTGGGTTTCCAATTCATTGTCAGCGCCAAGTACCCAGACACGGAGCCGCAGCGCTGTCAGCATCGCCTTGGAACATCGTCCTGGTAAGATAGTATTTTATTTATTTTCAAATTTCCACTCTCCCAGGGTAGCGTCGACACTCGCCTGGCTTATCCGACCTGGCTCCCACACAAGGTCTTCCACGGTTCCATCTGTGCCGTGGGTCAGGGCTCGGGGCGTAGGCGCGAACCCTCGCTAGATCAGCAGCCAAGCGGCCATTGCGAAACTCAGAGAGGAGGCGACCGTATCCGGACGTCGAGTACACAATGAGGTTGGTTCCTAGCCCGGCGGGAGGGACTGGCCTGTAATCGGATTTTAGGCTGATACCAGCGCTTTTGCGGAACATGGACGGTTGGGGTTGAGAGTTTATTTTTGCATTCAGAGCTGATATCTGTGTGAATAGCCCAAGGAACCTAGGGCTACTCGACGGTATGGATTCGGGTGCAAGAGACACCTGCCATATTTCCCCCTCCTGCGGTCACTAGAGGACAGGAGCGGACCGCGCCATCCCACACGGGCCCAAAGAAAATAGGCGGCATGATACAACAAAGGCTCCGACGGAAGCAAGGCCGCTCGAGCCCGACGCCATATATTGAAGTACTATCGGGAAGCCTATCCCCAAGCGTGGTTTTTTTTTTGCCTTCTGTGGAACACAATCACCGGTCTCTACTATTTGCTGCCGCAATGCAAACGCAAAACACCCTTGTACCATTGAAAATACTTTGACTTCCAGAACACCGGCACAAGTTCCCCTCACACTGTCTACACCCCACTGACCATCAGGTACCTCGCCTATGTTGTATTATCACCTACCTTACTGCCAAATAAAACCTCGAACTCGACGGCAAACCGCGGCGGAACAGACCCCAGTGACCGCGTTGAATCCGGCGCTTTACTGCAGTGCCCCTTTTTGCGTTTGCCGCTGTGCCTGTACCACGTCACACGGCAGCCGTTGCCCTTTTTATTCCCCTTCTTTTCGGTACCACGGCGGTGGGGACCAACCTTCCAACGTGCATCGCCAAGCCCCCTGTGTGTACTGCGTAGATGGTTGAGCGGCGTCATGTACTGTACCTTGAAGTTTCCCACGCACAGCAGCTAACACGCCTACCTGCCTCACCTGCCCGGCGTCAGATAGTTGGGTCCCTATAAGTGCCACCCCAACACTAACCCACCGGGAAAGAACATGACATGTCATGTTCCACCATGACGCACCTTAGTTGGTGCCGCCTCGGCCCAGTTGCGCGCCGCACATGGGCTGTTTATTTAGGGTTGGATATGATTTATTCAATTTCCAATAGAGGATACGAGCACAAAGTTCCTACCAGCAGTGTTGGCGGCAGCAGCCAAGGGAGAGAAGGGAGGGGCGGTGGTGCGGTTGGGTACCTAAGCACATCATAGTACATGCCTTAGCAGTGTAACTCTCCGGCGGCCTGCCCGAAAGAGGGGAGACCAGTCCCTTAGTAACCGCACCCGCCCGTCCGCCCGCCCGTCCGTCCACAACGTCACGTCCTACTATTGTTCCTGCTACTGTAGGGCTCGTGGACCCTGGGATATAGCGTCCTTGTCTGCCCGCCCACTCCCACCGGGAGAGCAATGCGGCTTATGCATAGGAGGGGGAGGGGCCCGAAAAGGGGCCCGAAAGGGAGTTGTTGGAACAGCGGTCTCGGCCGTTGCACTGAATGCCACCTACCTAGGCCTAGGGGGAAACCGAGATGCAATCATTGGGACGTAGTAGGGACTTGGAAAAGCTTCATGGCTGCGGTAGGACAATAGGGTACATACGCCCTTGTCTCGGCAGCTTCAATCCCGCTGGCGCCACAAAAAGGGGGACATCCCGAGCCACAGCATGTTGATTATCGAACCCCGCCCCCCTTTGGAAACACATGGCAGGCAAGGCGTGGAAGCAATTCTGATTTGCGACAAGGAGATTCAAACAACCCGGGCCTCCTCAAGAGGAGAGGCGTCGTATGTAATGCCAGGGACACTACTGCACATGATACGAAACAGCCAAAGAAACGTGCGGGGGGGGGGGGGGGGGACTGGCCTCGGGAGGATGGGCGCTGATTCGCATTTTTCACCGTGACATCGGGGCGCGCCCATCCATGATGGGTGGCCAATCGAGCCCGAGCCCCCCCTTTCCCGCAGCACCGACAGGCCTAACCCGGCGGGAGTATCCCGGGCGCTCCCATATACTAGGCACTCCAATCCGGCGGGGCGGTGTTGATGGGGAGAGGGGGGGCGGGCCCTTGTCTCCCTCTCCTCCCCCGGGGAGCGGTGTGTGTGATTATTGCTGGAACCGGCACACGCCCCGTGCCCCGTCGGACCACCAGCTCGTTCCCAGCTGAAGTGAAGGAGCCAGAGCAGAGAAAAAAAGGGAAGGGAGGGAAGTAACAGGGGTTTGCGCAGACGGATCGAAGACGTAGGCAGGCCGGCCCGGGCGCCCACCGCGAACACGTTTTTTGATGACTCGCGCAAGGCTCCCCTTTTCCCCATCAGCCCCCTCCCAGCACACGAAGGAGGGAGAGGAAGGAAGCGGAGATCCACCCATTGGTCTGACTACTAACAGCTGGGACACTAGGTTTAGCAAGCGAGGAAAGT